AAATACCCCAAACTTTGGTATACGGTTTATAAAAAAAACGCTGGATTATCACCACTTTTGAGAGTGAAAAATGCCGGTCATGCCCAGCAGCCTGGTCTTTTGTTCGGAGTACCGTCTTTTGTTACAGGACCCTGTTTCCTTTGTCCGAGTTCGGAGACCCCGGCCACACATATAAACCATACGGCTCCGATTTCTGAGTCCCCGGCTGGTAGTGGTTAAAGTATACACTTTGTTTTTTTTTTTTTCGCCAAGAAATGTGTTTGATTCTGTTACAAATATAAACGTCAGAATTCTGTGGGCATATTTATTTCGAAGACCCATAAACTGCCAAAAATCCTGAGCCTATTCTTGTGTACAAACTGTAGGAGGTTGCAGAGAGATCAATCGAAAAGCAAAAGTGGAAGAGTTCATTGGGTGAAATTGCCAATTGTAATTTATCATTATTTTCTCTTTGTGGAGTTCAGGAAAATCGTAAGTAATAATCGTAGGAATCAGTGATTAATTTCTGAACTCCATTTTAAGATTTAATGTGGCTGCCAGAGGGCAGGAATTTTTTTTTTTTAGTCAGTGTATTTCACTTACTGCCAGCCATGGACGACTGAGATTGGTTTGAGCAAAACAGAGTCTTTCTCCAAAACGAGGCTTTAAGAAGTACAGTTAATATCAGTTAATACCAGACTCACAGGTTCTAAATTGCACTAGACCAAACATCTCCCAACAATCCTTAGCAGTCCGCCATCTTTGATGTTAGGCCATGTCAAAATTGTGCGTAATGTGGCTATGGCTTTTTGCCATCTGCACATCATAGTTAACAGCCGATGCAGTGGAATATCATATCAGTTGTGACTAGACATTGAGCATGGCTGAATTGAGCAGTTTTGGGGGAGGTTAAATCAGAGTGTAATCTATCTATAACCACAACAGCGTTTTGAAGTTTGAAGATTTTTTTATTCTAAACCCTAAAAGAGGGTACCCTGAGGCTACTCTCCCCCCCATCAATTTGTGTTATGACAATCCAAATAAATCAACTAAAACTGGAATAGGGGCATTTATATATACTTGAAAAACAAAGGGTGTAAGGGTGCAACATCAAAGTGGAATCATCTAAACAATTTGAAACAAATTTGACTGATTCATCACGAACTATTTTCAATGTAATACCGCATGCACTCGGATTAACGCTTCACACTTTACACAAAGGGTCTAACAATTTTTTGTCTGTTTTTTATTGCACGATGCTGCTTTGTAGCCAACTAGCAGCTTTGATTGGCCTGGAGCAGTTCCATTTGTTAACCTGGGCTTTGCCACATGCATACAGAACAGACAAGACGAAACAGGGGGTAAGGTGTAACAACACGGGGAGGTATGCACAGACTTGATCAGATTTGTCAACATTTCTTGCTGCAAAAGCAAAGAGCTTTTATACTGACTCGTTTCATTTTCCCATTTTTGGAATGCCGCAAGTCCTCTTGAGACAGCTGTCTAATGTATATATATAGTGTGTTTTCACCCTTCAAAATAAAACACCCAATAACATGTACAGAACATTGAAGACGCACATCACAGACATGCAGTCCCTTGACAAGGACAGGACCTTTTCTTGTAGGGTGAGGGCCAAGTTCGATCAGAAATCATCTGCAAACCCAACTGGTCAATTTTGCCTGTTAACCCGTGCAGAAAATGCAGCCCAGGTACCGTGGAAAATTGACCAGCAGTCAACCAGGGGGTTGCTGGTCGAACTTGACTGTGACTTCAGGGTAAAGCCAACTGTCAACACGGTCAATGCATTTCGGTCAACCGATGCGGTTAGTATGAATCAACTTGGCAACGGGCAGCAAGCTTGTGAGTGAAGTCAGCAAGCAAGGGGCATTTTTAGTACCGGTAGTGTTCAACTTCAGGATTTTCATTGCGTTGACTTGAATGAAAAGAATTGTTTGGGGGGGGGTACTTTTAATGCTCAACTTTGCATGCTTCTTTTAAAGGAATAAGTTACTAGCCAATGTTAGTGGGCAAACGTTAATTTATGTTAAGCTGGGCAGTTAGAATGACAAGACCAATGTTCCAAATGAAGTGAAAATTTGTGAAGCTTCTACTGAGATAATCCACTGAGTTATCTACTGAACCTTCAGATATTCAAGCTTTTCTGAATATTGTTTGCATGCCATGCTAATTACATGCGATTACAAGTTTGTAATCCTTTCAGGCAAAGTACGTCTGCAGCCTAGACTAAGTAGTCGCTGAACTGGTTAATCTACATGTAACTGCGTAACTGTTAGCCTGAATACATCTGAGCATTCATCTGTTACTATTCTGAAATAATTTTTTTTTTTAATATAAATCTTTGAGCAGTGCACTACAATTGCCTTGGGTTAATGTCTAGATACAGGGATGTAGCTGACTGTCATAGTAAGAAAAAAAAAAAACTGGATTTGTCAGTTCAAAACTTGTGTCCGATAACAAATTGGGTCGTACTGGAACCTGAAATGTAGATCACATCCCTGTACGGCGCTAATGCCCAAAAGGCCAGTGACTTTCAATGCAACGATGGTATGATGCAAGAGCAAGATGCCAACAAATTTTGGTAGCAACGTTACGGAAAGAAGGAGGGGGGGGAATAATAATCGTAAGAAGCCTGGAGGAAAAACCAAGTAGCCGCCATTGTGAGGTTTACAAAGGGTCTTACCTCCAGCAAGCGGGCCAACCGCATTGGGGTGGCGGGTGGTCTTGGCCTCGTTCCGAGGAGGTGTGGTCTTGGCGATCACTTCATTGTCCACGTCGCTGGGCGTCGTCGGTGCCTCCTGCGGTCTTCTCGGTGTGGGGGTTGTACGCCCCGGGATAGTTCGCGGAGTCGTGCCTACGAGCCATATGCAGCGAGGAAGAGGTGGTGGGCGGAAGGGGGAGGGGCAAGAGATACAAAGGGGTGTTTGGTTTAAGCAAGTGTGGCTGATACAAATAGACAAACAGACTTTGTTCTCTAACAGTGCATAGGTGGGAAGTTAGTACTCACACAGTAAAAGAGTGGTTAAAGGTAGACTTCAATGCTAGGAGCAGTTTCGGGCATTTTAAAAATCAGAGTATCCTTTGTAAAGTTAAAAAGTGTATATTGAATAAGTGCTGAACAAAAAGTGCTACACCAGGAATAAAAAGGGAAACACTTGATAAAAACTGTAGCTAGGTGATTATGGTATTTTTACAACTGAAAAACTAAGCATTTTTTAACTGCCATACACAATATTATTAGGACAGAATCCATGCCAACTGAAAATGAATTTTCCTTTTCAAACTGAGAATTTTTGCCACACCCAATACCACACTCGTGCTTTAACGTAAATCTTCCGATTAAACTTCTGCAACTGAATTCCGTACGTTGGTGAAGCGGTCCAAAAATGAAACCACGGCATGTATGGGAATGTGCAAATCTGTTTCAAAGTTCTGGTCAAATAAAAAAGAATTTTTAAAAATGCCAAAAAAGCCTCCCCTAAAGTCAACAACTGATGACAACTTAATTAATTTTTTTTGGAGGAATTTCAAACACAGTCATTAGTCAGCTCAAATACATTACTTTTTTTTTTCAACAAGAACAGCCGTCTTAATATAGGATTAGTCAGGGAAACAAAACAGTTGAAGAGCAAGGTATAACCAACCATTGGGAGCACTTGTTCAGAAAGTATCGACCGAAGTAAAAATGTCGGTCAGAGTTATGTGGCTCACTCAAGTGCAGCAGACAGGGTAAGTATTAATGGAGGAACACTGGTTATTCCTAGGAGAGCGGGGCTGCTTGGGTCCATCTCACAGCTGAGGGAAACTTAGTCATTCCATGCCCGACTTTGCTGAAAAAAATCCAGACCCAAATAGGACTTCGTTGTTGCGGTCATGTGTGGTTGACAGGCTCATGCCAATGTCGGCCCGTGTGCACTGAGCACATTAATGCACGATTCAATATTTGGGGTTGAACTGCTTAATTGCCAGAATCGTTGGTGTCAAAATGACAGCAAGACATCACGGGAATAGTCCTTAAGGCTTGGGGTTTTCAACATGCAGAACCATACAAACAAATCTATTGGAGAGGTTCTTCATTGTACTTGGCAACTGGACTGAAAGATTCATGTATCAGTTAGTACGACATGGTGCATACATGTACAATGTGTCAACTCCTCGTCTGGCATGTCACGGAAAACAGCCTCCCGATTACCGGGCCTAGAAACGCTGGGAATCTACTCCTGACTCCTACGAATTTGATTTGAATCCAGTAGCACAATGGTAGTAATCACTATCAAACAACCAACTTTTTTGAAGTAAAGGTTATAGCTAAATGCTCAGGAAGGAAGCGTCTGAGAAGTTTCCGGAAGAAATTCACAAATGAAATTGGAACTGAAACTACGATTTTTCAGGAGGGACTTCTTTGAAATCAACCAATAACGGCTAGTCTTTAAGATTCCTGAAGAAAATCCCGCAGTAATACACAAGAAAGTCTAAGGGAAACTTTCCCTTGAAGGAAATCCCCCATCATGCCCATGGTGGGAAAAAAAAGGTGAAATTATCCAGATGGAATGGCCACAGTGTACTTCATGACGGTGATTCCACATCTTGTGTTTTTTTTTTGGATGGGGATATCTTCGATGGTGGATCAGTATGAGACAAAGTGAAGGAACAGTTTAAGGTGTCAGTGTTTAAGAAGTGAATACAATGAGCAATTCCATGTTCTGCAAGCTATATTTTCTCCTCCAGAAATCACAGACCGAGGTACAAAACCCTCCTTTTCACTCACATAGTTTCAATCGCAGATTTACAAATGATTGTTGCAATGAGCATGGAATGGCTCCATTTGTTCAGTATGTACAAGACAATGTTTCAGTTGTCAGTGTGGAAAACACAGTGAAAGGTGTTATTAACAACGGATGAGGAATGTCAGTCGTGAGAGGTTAAAAGAAAACCAAAGGTCAATCACTCTGGATCAAGACAAGCGGTGGGAGGGGGGAGGGAAAGAGAGACGAGACTGTGCAGCTTGTATCGTGCAAAGCTAAAGAACACCAGAGATGCAGAGACAGCAAAGTGTCTCACAGGAACCAAAACCATGGAGTAGAGTGATAGGAAACCTGGCAGCTTCTCTCAATACTGCGGAGAGAAAGTTCAAGAACTTCGTGCGAAACAGACCAGAAAAAAAAAAACAATCACCAGAGACTGTGAGTGACGGACACACTCGGTTCGTGGGAACCAAACTGTGAAATGGTGCGAGGTGCCTGAATCGTTTCATCGGAGGAATACATGGGGCTTTCGTGAAGTTTCATTTGGAAGATGTATTGAAACAGCAAAGCAAAACTCAGGGGGGGAGAACGCTAAGCTGCAGAGCATGAGGCGTTGTTTGCTCTACCTTTCTTGGGGGTAGTGATCGCCTCCGGGGGTGGAGTTCGGCTGCTCGTCACGGTTGCTACGGCAGGTGGGAGCATTGTGGTGGACAAATCTACAGTTGTCGGAAGTGGGGGATAAGCAACACAATCACATGACCGTCACATGACATGGGGAGACAGGCCGAGGAAGATTGGGAATCATTGCAATTTAATTTAAATTTTTGGGGGGGGGAGCAGGGTTCATAAACAATCCAAGTGCATAGTGGCAGAGATGCGGGATGTGTAAAAGAGGAGAAAATAAAGAAAAGAAAAGGTCAAGGGTCACATGCAAATGATTAACCCCAGCCATTGGCACTTGGTATGAACGTCATGCATCTCATATTTCGTGACTTCCTAAAGTTATGAGTTCACTATTAATCACAGTCCTATCCAATGTATCCTGTGGAGAGAAGTTGTTATGAAAAATGCCAATATTTACAACAAATATTCTGTAACGGAAAATCATTTACTGTATCTGGCAGGCAAGACAGGCAAAACTAAAATTGAAATCAACATCAGCACAGAAGCAGAACAAAAACTATGGGAATGGAAGAATCAAAATTTATCAAGACATCTGATCTGCGTATTGTGATGTGGATTTCTACCAATTCCCAAGATTGTGTCTGGATTGTGAATCATGCAGAGCTCCGTGTGAGTTGCTGAATGCACATCCCCCAAAACAATACACAGCATACACTCTACCCGTGACCAAACACGGCTCAGACTGGTACCCAACCCCAGTTTCACACTGGTTGATATGAAAAATGGGAGAGGGCACAGATCTAGCCAAAGCCATTGACATCAAGATGAGGCCACAATTGGCACCTGGTCCCATTTTCTACACTAAGTAGTGTCAACTGGAGAGGGCACCAGCCTGGCCAAAACCACTCGGGCTGCAAGTTGGATTACTGGACGCAACATTATATGTGGATAAAAAAAAAAAAAAAAAATGAGCAAAACTTGATGAATGAAATTTCTCTCCCCAAAAAAACTATTTCGGATGTTGAACCCAAAACTACCAATGACACCCTTGTTAGAATATGTTATCACTACAGCAACACTTGAAAAACAGTCATTATTGTTTTTGGTTTTTTTTTTTCATTGGACTCACTATCAGGGTTGTCGCCTTCACAATCCTTGCCTGTACCGATCGTAGAAAGAGAATGCAAGATAAACAAAAATAGAAGCAATTCAGGTATAGATTGTGCATCATTCATGAATGAACACAACCTGAAGGGGCTTTCCTGTTCAATTGCTTCACTTTCCCCACACCTCAAATTGCTCAAGTTTTCCTTTTCTACACTCTAGTCATCGACTGCTCCATGTGAGAACAATGGCTCGGCCTCACTGTCACCTGGGGGGACAGTGACAAACGTAAACACTGCCTTGACCACAAGTTGCGGGGGTCCTTGGCTTTGGTTGCATTTGTGCGTGTCAAACAATGGCTGTCAAACAACACAGGAAAGCAACTTCAGGATGTTCAATTGACCAGAAGGGGAAAAAAAACAGTATCTAAATCCCAGGGGCCTAGAGCAAACTTTTGAGACTGGTCCACCAATTTTCTCTTTCCGATCCTTTTTCCTGTTTGAAAAGAAAAGACACTGGAAAAACAAACCTCTCCTTTGTTAGGAATGAAACTCTTTTGTCCAATGTTGTTTCAAGTTCAGTACCAATGCACGTCTTTCAGTTTGTGCTTACTGAAGTCAAATCAACTTGATGTCTTTTGGCCTCGTACTCAACAAAGGGCAACAATGGGTATATGCTGGATCAACGACAAGCTCCAGACTTGTGTCGGCTGTCTTCGCTTGGTGACTCGATTCAAACAACTGACGACCAATAGCTTGTGCGCTTTTGTTGGCCATGTTCCTGGTCGTGCGACAGATGCCAGCAGGCCTTGCTTTTTTGTTATTGGGCTGGTTTTTTTTTTCGGAAAAGTGGTATTTGGACTGGCGTACGCATACCCATGCCCGGCATTTGGCACAAACCAGTCACACTTATTTCCTATTGATATGCGACCAATCACAGTCGTCCCCTTGGCCCCTGAACACCCAGAGACTGTTTCTTTTAACTTCTGTATTCACCCAAATACCATCAGATTCTAAGAGGAAAAAAAGGGCCGAGGAAACAGAATCAAAACTCAAAAGAATCACTGACCAGTTTTAACACAGGGCTGTGCCGTCGGACAAAAACACTCCACTGGGGTGGTTGTCTGAGGTACTGGCACTGTCACATGCGGGAGCAACAGGTACAGAGGGAGGAAGGTGGAAAGGTGGAGGAGCCACATTTTGCAAATAAACAAACAAGAAAATGCCGAACCCAAATGCGAGCAGGATGAACAGCGAGGGGGGGGGAGAAAATGGGGGGGAATGGAAGGAAACAAAATAAAATAAGGCAGGCAGTGAAAAACCAGGAGTAACATGGGGTGAACCTGGGCAGTGATATCGAGTCATGTTGGAATCCATTTGGTTTTTTTTTTTTTTTTGGCTTTTTTCTTTGGGTTCCTGACAGCAGCTGTTACAATGCCTACAGCTAATGCCAGCAATGACGTTCTTCACCTGCTACATTCATTTCTAATACGACAACAGAAAGTGGAAACTAAACCATTCTGGGTCGTTGTAACACGCACAGAGATCTCTTCTCTGTTAAAGACACATATGACCAGCGACTCGTGTCGTGCACAATTACATAGCACACCAAGTGAATAACTCCAGATGGATCCATATAAAGCATGCACAATGACAGCTCTCTGACACAGAGTGCAACCAATGTGCATGTCCTTCTGGGGGTGCAGGATTCCTCGGCATACCCTTACCACTGCCCACAACATACTGCGTGAATCCAACTAAAAAAAAAAGAAAAAAAGGAAGGCTAGTTCTACTGCTGCCCAAGTTTGCTCGGGAAAAAAATGATTAACTGCTGATCGCGACCTGCTTTCAAAAGGCCCCACTAAAAACAATGTACATGTACATGTACTGGAATTTGACTTCTTGTTGGCGACATTCCTTCCACGACACCACTGAGAGCACAGACTCAAGCTTCATACACGCAAGTACTTTCATCACACAGGGGTGGGAGTGACCGCTTAAAATTAAAGCTGAAAACAGCTACCAAAAAGCTGCAATGTAAAATGTTCCCATACTTTTTGTACAGACCAGGTGTACATAAAAGCTGAAATTCGGGGTCAACATCCAAAACAAAAAGCTGAAATCAGCTAAAAAGCTGAAATCTCACACCCCTGACCACCCTTTCAGATTTGGGTTCCCCACACTCTGATAAAACCTGCCCCTCTCCCCTTTTCCCCAAAACGCTTTCTCCCGAGCAAACTTGGGCTAAGCATGCTATGGTATGTTGCCAATGCAACATGACAGCATATTGCATGCTATGGTTTCTGATTCTATACTTTGGGAGCAACTAAAATACCTTCCAAAAAACACAAGCCGCTTTCCAAAGTCACTACGGTAAAAATATAATTTCCATGCAAGTAAAACATAATCCAATATGCCCATTCATCACAGCAACGGATCTCCAAATTTTTCACACAACAATTTTTATTCAACCATCAAAAGATTTTTGACAAAGATTTTTCAGGTAAAAACTTTGTGAAGTGATTTTGAGTTTTCCATTATCAGCTTTTTAGTTTTCTAGTGTGTGCATTACACAGACAATCCATTTTGTGCCTTTCAAAACACTGAAAAATCCAAAAACTTCCCGAACTCCTCAAAATTTCTCTTTTGCCAGGAACACAATGCAGGAACTTAGTTCTTCAACTTTCAAGGGCATCAAGCCCCCGGTACGGTTACAGTGGCCAGGGTCTTTCTTCCTCAATCCTACAAAATCCTCCCACGAGATACGGGAAGGTTCACTTAATAACTAAGACATATCCACTGCTGAACAAAAGGGGCAGATTGTGTCAATCATACTCATGAAATAAAATCTACAAACCCTGAAACTAAGGTTGAAACTAACTGTAACTGAATCTAACGCCCCCCAAATATAGAACTAAAATTCAACAGAAAACAGACAACAAAAATTATAGCCAGCATGCTGCTAGTGAGCGCAAGTGCAATGATGGTCAATGGTTCAATGTTATTCCTTCCTCAAAACGGGCAGGGAAAAGGTCTTAACCGGGGAAGAAGAAGAAAAAACCTCCTCCTGTGGGGTTTACCTTGACAGGCTACTGTTGTTGGTGTAACTAGGGAAATGAGAGAATTAATGACGATGGAACAATGTTAGCGACAGGTTGTTTTCACAGAATGAGGGAGACATTACCAATGGACAGCCATCTTGATGACAATTTTCCTACAAGTTTTTTCCTCCTCCAAAATGGTAGCTCGTAAGCTTTTTTTTTACCTTTCCTGTAACTGAGACATGCAGTTAAAAGCCTTACTTTTTGGGGGGGTTTCCTTTTTTTTAGGGAATGGACATTTTTAGCTCTTCCTTCTGGTATTTCACTCTGGTTGGAACACTATAAAAAATACAAGTACGGACATTATTTTGGAGAAAATGCTGATGGCTCTGATTTCCACTGTCCATGATTTGCTTTAGGAGCCAAACTTGCAAGTATTTCTGATGGAGATCTTTACTCTGTTTGGTTCAGTTTAAGTTGGGCTTGAAATTGTTTTCTTTCACTGTTCTTCACTCAAAACCAAACACCTGCACATTCACAGAGATCAAGGTCAACCTTGGCCCAGCTATCTTCAAATGCACAAGTCCAATGAGTTTCATGACTCGATAACGCCAAACGTTCAACATGCAAAACACAGCGCAAAGTTGCTTCAGCAATGCCAACTTCTTTTTTCTATCACTGTCCTTCATAAAACATGCCACAGATTAAATTGTTAATGGAGACAGAATAAATACAAAGACATGTCAAAACCACCTGGGTTAGTTCGGAACCTTTTAGCAACTTGTTTAACACAGGAAACACGGACGAACACTTAATCAGGCAACTTCTAAAAAGTAACGAGTGTTATAAAAACTACCAAGTCAACGAGTTTGAGTAACCAAATTATAACATGCTATCGAGTGAACATGGGAGGGAGATAACTGAAACGTGAGGGGGGGACGTGTCTTTGTGCATTGATGAGCTTTCCACAAGGTCAAATTTGATCAAATGAAATAACGAACAGTTCCAGTGTCCTTGGTAGGCGGTCAGTGTCGTGTGTACATGTAAATGTATATGCATGTATTTCATTTTATTGTAACTGTCTTGAGAGTTGGCACCATTTGGTGTGTTTATGTGGAAGGGGATTCAATCTAAACGTGATGTTGGACTTCAGGTGAAATTCTGCACCGGACTGTGCAGTTCACCTAATATGCTCCGAACACATCGGCCATATTTCCGGTTGTTTCTTAAGCCATTCTGCATGTCAAACCGTGTATGTCTTCGACCATTCCTCTGGGGGACGTGAGGGAAGGAGGAAGGAAGGAGAAAGGCCTGGGAGGGGCTGGCTAAAGGCAGGAGGCGGCTACATGGAATACTGTCCACACACTTGAAGGTGGTTTGGATCTTGCATTGCCTTTCCCCGATATGACGGAATGAGATTCATGAGGAGGATGTTTTGAGCGATGGGGCATGACAGTGGAGCCAAGCTGAGAGCTTTATGTGAAGCTGGGAGGTGTCAACTCAAGCTAATCAATCACATGGACACGTAGGGTCTGGCTCTTGCAGCAGACACTGTCTGGGGCCAACTTGACGGGTACAAACTTCCTGAGGTAACGTCTTTAAAAACTGTGTGTGTTTGTGCCTCATGTATTGATAGCACTGCTGTTTGATTAATCATGTCACACATGGAGTTACTGTACCAGAACTTTCTCAAAGTAAGGCATTCCACATTATTACTTCAACAAGCCAACTGTTGAGAAGAATGTATAATGTTTGAAACTATTTGAAACTAAACAAATAAGGTCTTATGAAGTGCAGTTGTGTAATTGTGAACCTAACAGTTAGGGACTTTGAAAACATCATTCAAAATGGTAAGAAAGATGCGCAACAGCCTATACGTATGTCACAACAAGCTTTATCGTGATTAGTGTTCTTTTGCAACCGCTGGGACAGGGTTATATCTGCAGAGCTCCCTCTGTGGCAAATGATGCATGTTATGGTTTAAGCCACTTTTGCAATGCAAACACACCGCATCCACTGCACTAATGCCATTTGAGGTCTAGCTTCCCGACTCCATTTTTAAGTTCAGCACAGCAAACACCTTAGAGCACGAGCTTAGACTGTCCGTTAACAGTTAGCATGACCAACTCATTTGTACTACATCCATAAAAAGGTTGAAAAGTTGTCTTACAGAATCCATTCTGGAAAAAAATTTACAGAGCTCTAATGTTTGAACTATTACCTAAATTCCTGACACCTACTTAGCCCCCAATTCAAAAAAATTGTAGTGGGGTAATTCAAACAAATAAAGCTGAAACTGCTGTGAGCAAAGCACTGTTTGAAAACTACAGAGCCAAAAAACTTGTCAACCGTAGGTCCCAACACCAGTCACCTCATATGTATCCCAGTTACGGGGAGGGACAAAGACAGTGACCTGTCTTGGCTTTGGCCTCCGACTGACACAACCACGACTTAATCGAAACTCTGCAAATGTGACTTTAAAGTTGTTCTCGCAATTCAACAGCAGTGCTTTCTTCAAAAAGAAAACTTTGAGAATGCTCACAGCAGTGACAGCGTGGCTACGGTTGGGCTTGGATGAAACCTGATCAGTAAAAATGCCTACATCTAATGCTAAATTCACAGGACTATTTATGCCAAATGATGTCAAGCCCTACTTCTAACGATCTACTTGAATCCTAACCAACTTACCTTCTTCTGTAAAATGAAGACGTCCAAACGGAGCCACGGAAAGAAAGAGAAAGAAAGGAAAGAAATACAGACATGTACATCAATATTTTGTAATAGTAAGTAGTTACTTAGATGTTTGGAGTGTTTATGTAAGGATTTTGAACCAGAATCTACACTGTGCAAATGACTTTATTGATCTAAAACAAGCCCATTCACAGACTGGAAAAATGCAAAGCTCAGTTCAAGAAAGAGTTTCCAAAATATGACTGCATTTCTAACTTTGGCCGATTGTAGGCCACTGTTGGCCCAAGCAGTGTTGCACATTTTCAAAGTGTTCCAGGTTTTCCAGGTTTCAGATTCTGTTTCCAAAGTGAGGAGTCACACACCGGCAGACAGAGCAACACAATCAACACGGATGGAAATTGTCTACATGATAATTGCCACACACTCCCCGTATCAAATTAATCCACCCTTTTTTCACTCTTGTTAAAAACTACAGTGGAACGCCACTATAACGAACACGACGGGGTCCGGGCTAAATGTTTGGTGCAGGGGTCATTCAGTAAAGCGTTGCCATTTGAATAGGGCCCACTCTTGTCTAACTGAAGTGCCCCCTTTTGTGAAACTACGGTTCCCTGTTTTCGTGATGTTTGGCCGTTGCATTCAGGTTAAAGGTTTCTAAAAATGTATCTATTAATTAGTTTTGTTTTTTATTACATCTTAAGTTATAAAATTGATTTCAAATTTATCCTAAATGTCGTGAAGCTACCGCTCAGGATCGATCACTGATCCAAGCTGTGGCGAATCTCGGTGGCTTGTGTAACAGCGACGCCGTCTTTAGGCTAATGTTAGAGCAATGCCATGGCGCGCGTGCAGTTTTCTTTCACACCTGATCATGCGGAGTTGCAAAACCAGTGTCCATTCAGTACCCTTGGCAGATTAACCGTGCAGGCCCCGGCCGTTACTAGAAGATGACTTTGAACAAGTTTGGACCAATGTACCCAGTTTCTCAGTTAGTTATTTACAATTAGCTCTTCAACAACTAGTGGTTTTCCCTTCGAATCCTTTGGGAAATAATGGCCACTTGTCACTTTCCAACATAAAACACCTGACTGTTTTATCAAGTTGATGTCTGGGAATTACAAACGGCAACCGCATAGTGTTCGGTAGGTTTTGTGCACAAAATAGTGGGAGCCCTGGACGATGTTCGGCACAGTCGAATATTTGTTATAGCAGTGTTCGGTATAGCGGCGTTCCACTGTATTTCAAAAAGAAGGGACTTACTTGCACAGTCTTGTATATTTTCTACGTCTTGTGAGTCACTGTAGAGTAAAAAAAAAGGGCATTTATGCACTAATTACAAAAAAAAAAGCCGCCAAACAATTTCACAGCACTTAGACTCAGCTGAAACTGTCTGTGATCCACAATCATGTATATTTCAATGATACACATGCACACTTCAAATTGGTATTAATTTTAGTTGATTTTAGGAAAAATAAGCAATATAGCTGGTAAAGACAAACTGGCTGGTAAAAATTATTCAATTGTGTATGCTATCACCAAGAAAACAGGAAGTCCTCATTTGCAGGGTACTTACAAATTATTATCTGTATACCGCAGACACTTTTGACTGAAGTTGTTAAACACGCAGTAGGGATCCTGTTTACAAGCACTGCAAATTTAAAACAAAGACAGCAGATGGAAGTACAACATGGAAAAAACATGTACGTTGTTTACTTTGTGACATCCTGTGTCAACATCAGGGCAAATCAGGTCAACAATTCAAGTTGGAGTTGCACCAATGATGGTTAATTACACACTTTCCCATTTCACACATTACACTCTTCACGCAAGCGGTGGAATCGATAGGACAACTACCATTCCGTGAGGTTGTCACATCGTTGCAGCGGGAGCTCGACCACCGTGCTGTTGGTGTTGACTAGGATCACGTCGTCTCCACCCGGCTGCCGGACAATCTCCATGTTGACCACGGCCTCGGGCTGCATCCGGGGCGAGACAAAGATTTCTTCCAGGAGGTTGGAGCGGTAACGGTCATTGGTCCCCTTGACAATGACCACCTTCAGGACGCGGCCGTCATCTGCCCAGATAACCAAGACATAAAAAGGGGAAATACTTGATTACGATTCGTAATCAGAGCGTGTTGATCCGTGAAATGGACAGATGGCTACCATTTTATCTACAGATTGGAGGCTAACTGCTGAAGGCCAATTAACAGGGACCACAGGCTAAAAAGGGACCTTAGAGGCCAATTGCAGAATAAGACCTGATTGGGGACTACAAGTCAAATACAGGTATGTATGTAGGCCAACTGGGGACTGTAGGCCAACTGGGGATTGTAGGCAGACTGGGGACTGTTGGCCGACTGGGGACTGTAGGATAATTGGAGACTGTAGGCCAGCTAGGAACTGGAGGTCAACAAGGGAATACAAGTCCAAGAACAGCGGGCAAACTAGGGACTGACTGAGGTAAATCATAATCAGATTCACTTGACAACCAATGGACCCTCGTTCAAGTATATAAAAAACAACACCCACCTGTGCCAAGGAAAAGCACGTTGTATGTCTTATCGTTGATCGCCTTCTGCTGGTGAACCACTATCTGCATGAGACGGTAGTTGGCTCGCGTCAAGTCGAATCGCGGCCACTCCTCGCCCTCATTGGGCACCGACAGGTGCATGAGGGGATGCGCCAGAATAAAGTTCAGTGTGTTGTCGGGCGTCATCTTGGAGTTCTCGACACACTACGGGAACAGCAAAATAAAAAAAAACCAGTGTACATTCATTCCGCTATTGAAACAAAATGCCCAAAGAGGGACTCAAACTACTCTCTGTTCTCACAAGGGCACCCATTTATTTTGGGCAGGAAGAGGAGATTATGATCAAATGTCTTGCCCAAGTACACAAACTCAATGATTCTCTGATGGTGTCTGAATTTGCATACTGCAGTACTGTAACTATAAGACCAAGGTATCCAGGGCAATGAACAGAGGAAATGACGTTCAAATTTGAAAACCTGGAACTTGTACAAAACTTAGAACCCGGGATGTCTATTTCTGGAATGGCTAATCAGCTCATGTAAGTCAGGGCACTAGACCCTTTTCCTCACGTGACAAGTGCACTGTACATCGACTGCAGCCGGAATGAAGGCATGCGAATACAGATACTGGGCTGTAATAACAAGCTAGCGGCTTCTATAAGTGCATGCATCATTCCTAACCATAACCAAGCGATTCAGACATTGAAGGTTTAATTACAACTCTATCCCCCGATCCCTTTGCGAACCCCCCCCCCTTACATGACTATCAAACTTACAAGTCCTGGCCTCGGGTCGGGGACTTCGTCCACCGGGACAGGATACCAGTTGCCCTGCTGCTGCTTCTTGAACTGTCCCTCGTTGATGATCTCCTTGATCTTGGCCAGGCTGTAGACACAGACAGCTGAGCCTGGGATCTCGTGGCTGCAGGAAAAAAAACAAACAGAAGATGAAAGAATGCCCATCACGGGGGTCGATGAGAATGAAAGGACACGTGCAAAGATTTTTTTGGAAACTGTGTACGTGAGACATCATTCTGCAAAACTCAAAAACAGCTCAGCTGATATAGCCCAGCAGAGCAGTGGATTCGCAGAAAAGCGCCGAGTCAGACGAGATGGGGGTAACTTACTCTCCTGTTGTGAAGACACCATAGAAGTTGATGTCATCTCCTTCACCCATCATGTACACATCCTCTGCAGTGACGAAATAAATTGGTAACAATTAACATACCTAAAATCACCAACGAGAAACAAAAACTCTGAAATTTACATGCAGAGTGACTACTTAAAGCTAAGAATCCAGCCAAACACTTGACAGTTCAGGCTTAAGGTTGTAGTGCTTCGACTCTGAGTGAAAACTTACGTAGATAGTTGAAGTAAAACGGGAAGGCGCCAGGGAAAGAGCAGTTGAGTCGAGCCTTCTGGAAAGTGGTCCAGGTATCTTCCAAGACCCAGGAGCCGCCGAGGTCGTTCTTGCAGACCTTGGCCACCCGCGAGTAGATGGCCTGCCACAGAGGACAACACATAAAAATCTGGCAAGCTCTTTTTTCCCTCTTAAAGTAGCCTATGCATAACAGGATCCTTTCCATAATACCCGGTTTATTACAAAACCGCAATGCATGCGTGAGAAAAAGCAAGCACAATAAAGTCACATATAATGATCTTTCAGCTTCAAACTGGTGGACTCACATCGACAGCAATTTCCCGGAAGAAGAACAGGACCCATTCCCCGACCTCAAACGACTTGATGAATTCCGGCACTGAGGACAAAAGAGGTTATTAGACTGGTTATTAGAGACACATTGATATGCCCTGGCAAATGCAAACTAGGGCAAGTTTCGGGTCAACAGGTTTAACGGGGCGTCCAGGTAGCCATGTGTTGAGGGGAGGGGAAAGTCAGAGTCACTCTAGCTGGTTGTGGTGGGCTTCGAGCTATGATGTACAGTACAGCTGGGCTCTACACATCGAGGGCAGTGTCAACGGGGAGAGCAGAGGGTACCTTTGAGCCATTTGGTGTCCACTGCCTTTGATCTGATTGGCTCTCCTCTCATGCTGCGGAAGATGATGGAGTCCACTGCTGTGAAGCTGGTTACTGTGGCAGAGTACAAGGCTCCATCTGGAAAAGACAAGATATGAATTTCTCAGCTGTCCCCAGAGATGACAATCAAAATGAGCTGATTTTGGGGGGGGGGTAATTCAGGTGACTGTCCTTTTGATGAAGGCACTTCCCGTCAACAATGACATGTAACAATTCTTCTCTCTACCCTGTTCAAGTACCATTAAACCCTGTACAAGCCAGAACAATGCAAATGTACATTTAAGTCACACTGGTTATAGATCCTTTGGGAAATATTGATGCTCTATGTTGTGTGCTTTACATTGCCAACAGTGCCTTTACAAAGCAACCGTGCGTTTTCTGAACCAACTTGCTCAGACTGGTTGCTTCTGAATAGTCCCATGAAGATGATGCTTCTGCTGTGTAACCATTCTGAACCTGTTGTCAGTCAGGGAATTTCTCTCCCAGCCAGTTTACACAGTCATCAAGGATCCGCCCGTCCTCTTACCTGCAAATATTGCCGTGCTTTTTTGGGTGGGGCTGTATGGACATCGGTTGGTCCCAGATGACTGGTGGTACACTGTCAATGAATTTGGCTGAAAAATGAGAGAGGGGTAGGAGAAAATGGAAAATTGCTCACTGATGACGCGAATTAAATAATGCCCTGGGAGTAATTGTTATTGTGAAATCAAAAATGATCACATACTTACCGGTATGCAAACAGTAATTTTAGTGACTACTTTTACAACCCAGTTAGTACAAGTATGAGCATCCGCATAACGAGACTTGATGGGTTCCTCTTAATAACAGCAGCAATCTCATGGACCCATTTCCTGTCGGGGATTTAACCCCTGTCAGGACTAATTTGCTTCAGTTCCACCATCCCCCCACTGAAGATTAATCAACGATATTTTGACGCAAGCTGTCCTCGGCTTTGACATCCTCTGCCAACAAGCAAGGTTGATCTGATGGGGGTTAGGTGTGAGAGATGTGGCATCTGGGTTTCTCACAACCAGCGATTTCTAAAAGGTAAGTCTTGCTGCAAAAATACAGGACACAAGACCAGTATGTGAAAACTTTTCCACCTAGAAAGCACACGTTCATTATTCATTCAACACACACCGTTCATATGAAATGTGTCTTCAAGGCGCTCATAGGATGTAAAAAAATTTTTCCCATTGATCTTTTTCTTATGATCATAAAGATCATTCTAATCTCGTCCCCAAAGCACTGGAATAGGTTTAGTGACTCACTTTGTTAAGTCATGAACTGGGAAAAGTTCTTCCTGCTGAATCTACATACATACATATACATGTACCAACATATAAACACGCAGTGGGTGAGAGGTGCTGTAACAACAGCCAAGAAGTAACGTGAATTCAGTTCAAACTCAAACGGTGAAGTTTGGGCATTCCTTTCAATTTTTTTTCCAGTGAAGGTCAGGGAAAACCACTACACCGTACTATCCCTTGCACACAAAAGGGATCCTTCCCAAAGAACCTTTCAAGTGCTTCCACTTTTATATCAACTTTTGAGCCAGATTAAATTTTATCAGTGCACAATGGTAGGGGGAAGTTAACCCCGTGCTAAAGCAAAATTTGCCCTGCAAAGGAGACCCCCCCGTGTGGGAAGATGATGAATGTTACCAGTTCATCTACCACTTTCCTCCACTTTCTCCTTTGCAGGTTTTTTTAATTATTATTTTACAACAGCGATGCCAGTCAGGCTCTTATCCAGAGCTTGGTAATTAAGCTCAATTAAATTAACCTCATTAGGGCCAGAAAATAGTCCCACATTTCAAACGATAAGAGCACCAAATCAAGCTCTTTTCTGAAAACTGGCGTCCCTGATGTAAGTCAAATTCTTCCGGCAGTGATGGGCTTCTCACAATCAGAGCTTTGTGAATTTCAATCGGCCTTGACAAGAGTTTAATCTAATTGACAGGTCCCCTGTCAAGGAGACACACAAGAACAAGGAAGATTCTTTGGAAGTGGGCAAGGAATATAGAAGTGCAAACATCTGGGGGTTGGCTCAGCTGAAAAAGAATCCAAACAGCAGGGGGACTGACAGCTTGCAGAGCCAGCTTTCTTGCAAACCATGCCAGGGTGACAAAACACTGACTTTTGGTTGGCTGCCAAGGGCAGAGAGCACAGGGGTCACATGTACCTGTGCTGGCATGGCCAGCTACGAGGGGTTTCGCCATCTAATGGTGTAAATACAGTATCATTGGCCCGGTTCTGCTTAACTTCCCATTTGAGGGTCCACGGCGGTCTTCAGACTGGATACCCCGGGCTTGCCTCCCGCACGGGGGTCTTGCAAACAACAATGCTCATTAGGAAGATGGATCCCAGGAATACGTGACAGTTTTATGAATCTGTTTCAGAGTCATTCCAGATATGCGGTAGCCACTGACATACATACTGGTCTGCCACACGCCCGCAAACCAACCGTTGGTCATTACTCTCACTTGTCGTACACACCGAGCACTTCCTGTGGGCAAAGACACTTTGAGAAGCGGGGCATCCTTTCAATGGCAAGCTGACTAGGAGGCACCTAATTTAAAGACCAATTTCCCGACACATGCACAAGCAATACTGCTCGACTGGACAAGAAAGAGTGTTGATGAGATCTAGTACATGTACATGTATCCAAGGAACTCCGAGGCAGAGAAATACCCCATTTGCAACTCTACACACTGAGTGAAGATCGGCAGGGAACCAGTCAAAGACAACAGGTACCAAATGAAATTTTGTGGGCTGTAAACCCTTACTGATGTGTTAAACATATTCCACACGTGCAACTTTCTGTCCTTGAAAGACTTAAGGAACTGGCCTAAGGTTGGGTGCACAGTTCACAAAAATCATTTAAAACATTAGCCGTGTTCACTACTTTCAGTCTGACCAGTTTATATTAACAAACATCTCAGAAGCCTCCATGTACATGTAGAAACACTTGCCACAGTGGAACTCGAGTAAACAATTTTTATTGGTTTTCTGGGGGGGGGGCAGAGGGACAGCGACTTACAAAACCGACGCTCAGGTACACAGTAAATACAAAGACAAGGACAGACAGTGGGTTAACTTTTGAGTACACTTGGGACATGTACGTGTAGATGCAATGAAATGAGTTGAGATCTTTCCTATCATTCGCAATATGTGTACCTGAAGCTAACTGTGCTCGACTCCATGGGAATGAATCGGAGCCACTTTCGAGTTTGGGCCTTTAAAAAAATCTCATACAATGTAAAGTAATAGGAACCCTTTACAGTTTTGCACCCATAAAAAATCTATTTTCATCTGGAAGCTCGAGTTGATCTTTCTCAAGCAAACTGAAAAGAAAAAATTTACTCCAAAATGGACTTGGAACTCATTTTCACACAACGGGTCACAATACTGAGATTCAAAAAGATGATTATTGTTGGTTTTTGACTTTTGGACTATCTGTTGTAAATTACCTGATAGTTCCGACAGGCAGGGGACCAGGCATTGGTCCCGCAGACCAGCAACCGATTCGTGGCATTGTTGACCAGCACCACCTGGATGAAGTTCTGGCACTGCCAGCTCTGCTTGCCCTTCATGGTGCAGCCGTCCACGTCCACCTGGGTGGAGACCCAGGAGATGTTGAGGGCAGCCTCTGGCCGGCCGAAAGGCTGGGTCAGGTCCAGGATGTAGAAGACGTTCTTGCCGCCCAGGTAGAGCTGGGAGCCGTCGAGGGAGAGCGACATGGCCGTCAGGCTCTCGCCGTGGAACGTCCTCAGATCTGTAGCACAGAGAAGAGGAAAAGACCAGTTGTCATCAAAATGAGTGGATTTCCATGGTGGATACCGATAAACCTCCAGAAATATCCAACACGCTTCACAAATAAACGGGTGTTATGGCCTTCTCACAACAAGAGCAGCTTGCTATCTACAACACATGCACATCCAGCGTGTGTAATGTAAATACGGGTACGTCATTCGCTACACGATGTTAAAAAAAGCGCCAACAATTTAAGCCACTAGTGGAACTGATTTAAAATTTCTGAGGGGAAAGGGTACAGGGTACTCCAAGAAAATGAACTACAGCCTACCCATGTAATGCGCATACCGGTACTGAAGGTTGTGCACATTTTGAAACTTCGAATGGCTTGCACCAGGGAGGGGGTGGGGTCTTGTTTCCCCCCGCCCTTCCCCAATGGATTTTTCCCTTGCTGTTCTTTTCCCATCAGGTATGGTTGAGTTGACAAGGAATGAATCTCTGAATATATTTTTACACTTACATGTAATAACTCACTGGCACCCACCATTTTGGTTACCACTGGAATTTGGCCACAGGTTCTTTCTTTCCACAAAACCTATTATTGCGCTGTATCACCACCACTCATTTACAAAATACATCAGCAGGGGGGTTGGAACAAACAGAGTGATAACTTTAAAAAAAGGGGGGGTCTTGTTAAAGCAAAAGGTTAAGCTCATGCGGACTCCGTCTTTCAAAGTTTCAAGGAAATTCAACCACAGTGCTTTCACTATCTTAAAGCTGTCAGTGAAGCACAGAAAGAGTAGATGTGACGCATGTGGATTTCTTCTCAAACCACTATTTTTCCCCTTGCCACAGTGGGGGAACCTATGGGACCAGCTCTGAACTGAACTTTCACGGTACATCAATTTGTTTTTATCCCCTAACTTCTCCTGCCTGTGTTGTGGGTTACGGATGACTAAACCCCAGTACAAAAGGGCCACAATTAAGCTCAGCTGTTGCAAAGCACTGCAAGGTTGTTGGGTTTTCTTCCGTCACAATAGGTGCGCCCGTCAGGGGCCCCCCGGACCAGGTAAAGGGATTGTTATTATCCTTGTCTGTTTTGGAGCAAAACTCCTGGTAAAAAGAAGTGAAAGCCAGAATTGGGAGGCCTTCACAGGGGTAAAAGATCCAATCTTCCATGTACTAAGTTGGTTTGAAAAGGAGGATTCTGTGGACGGTGTGACGAAATCTAATTGGATAAGACGAGCCAAAGCTAGTACAAGGCTCCTTGGGTTTTCAAACGAGTGTTTCACAAGAAACTCATTTAATCCATGCAAAACCAACAAATCTCCTCTTCTTTGAGTTGACAAAAGACAGAAGGATGTGGTTTCCAGTCTTTTTTTTTCCACTCTTGTTACGGCTTAGTGAAAAACACAAGCTCTATCAGGTGATCGACTGTTGTTTTTTGCACTCAGAATTCACAGTTTTCCATCATATAAATTCTGTGCGGAAAAAACAATAGTCGATCATCATTTAGTTTACACTACAATGCCTGATAGGGCTTGGAACTTTTACCGGCCATTTCCTTGTTGGAAATGCTACCCTTTGGGCCTCAGCCACCAGGAACAAGTGACACAGAAAGGGAAAGCACCAGTATACCATGAATGCTACAATATAATGGGTGGGTATAATAGATTGGTTGACTTGCCAAAGCAACTCTTTCTTCTTTAGAACCAAACGGAACTCAGAGAAGAGTTAATCAACGGAGTACCTGTACACTCCAGAGTGCACGCAGTCATTTTTCACACACAATGGGGCATTCACGGAAACAGCCTTCCTCACTTGATCAGAGACCTACATGTACATTACACATGACATTTTGCACTGTGAGGAATCAGTCCCGGGAGTGGGAACTGTTTAGGCCTGGGCTGGCAGCCAAGAAATGGCCCTTGGTTTATCAGAATCTCAATCCCCCACTTATCCACTGTAATTCTCAGAAGTTCCATCAGACTTTGGGAAACACCTGGTTCCCAACATTGTGTGGATATAATACACATGAACATTGTACCTGCACATGCAGGTTAGCATACACAAGTAAAGTAATAAATGATGTCGTCCATTTAAAACTAAAAACCCTACCATTACTAACCCAAGGTCACAAGTTATTTTTGCTAGCAGTAGATACATGTACTTTGTATGCACCCTGAAATCTGGATATCCAGCTTGCAATGCACATTTACACATGTACAATGTACACACGTACATGCAGATGAACTAAAAACCAACTTGGGTACTCATTTTCATACTGCTGACTATATGAAGCCACGAAAGAAAGCCAAGTAAAGTCCGAGTCTCCACCATTCTCTCAAAAGTTCTGAAAGCAAGGCCCAGAGCAGAACTTCATGGAATTTGATAGTCTGTGGATAGGTTTCAACTTTGCTGTTGTGGCTGGCTGACAGAAGCTGCCCCGAGCCTGTAACGTGAACTTGCACAGTTTGAAAGGGACTTCTGCCTGATTTGTTTGGGATCCTGTTTGAGATGGAAGCCCAGATCGAATTTCTTAAATCCGGAGGGGTCATTCACTGGGGAAGATGCCAAGTCCCTGGTTGTTGGTCAATTCCAAGAGGTCAATTCATGCAGGCTTGTACATGTACATGTACATTACTCCCCACTGCAACTGTGCAACTTGGGGGGGGGGTTGTCATGCACATGAAGATATTCTTAAGAGTAATTCTTTTAACCATAACAGTCCCACACCATAAAAAAAATTGAGTGAAAGTTTCGGAAAATTCAGAGCGTTTAATCAGAAAGCAGAGCCTGTCAGCTTACGTGTACATGTAATATGGTTTGATACTTCAGTGAAAATTTGAATAAGAAGAATGTTACCGGTAGTGGAATGGGATTCCTTCAGAGACAAATAATTTAGGAAGATTCAGCCACTGAGAGATATATCATACAATACATGTATTCAAACATTTGCCTGGAAAGTTAAGGTGACAGGAGATGTATGTACAGTAAGTGTAAAAAGTGGAAATCAAAAATGTTCATGTACATGATGGATGTCCTGTTTAGTGCAGTGAACTTTCCAGTACTAAGCTACCATCACAATGTCATGTGTAAATCATTTTAGAGGAGTGGCTCACTACACATGGAAAAAAATGTTAAGTGGGAAATTATTTAGCACCAGTTTGAATGGTTGTTTGTCATTCTCTGGAAACTGTTTTTCACAAATTTCCCCTTTTCTTCAAATTGGTGATTTACTGAGCTTCCACAGGCCGCAAATGCTGTCAACAAGGGGCCGTTGGTATGCAGAAGGAATGCACTTGGACTCTTCCCGAACAATGGCAGCGGTCAAAGGGCAACCAGATAAGGGATTCCGTCCTCCATTGTTGGCCGTGTTTATCGGTTTCTGTCAGCACAATAATCAAATGTGCAAAGCGCAGAGTCTCCTGTTTATGCCAGGCCAAATGAAGCAAGAGAAATGCATAACTGAGACAACAGATATTTTTTTGGATCAGATATTTTTTTTGTATAGCAGGTCAAAGGGGCGGGGGGCCAAAATGAAATAATCAAATCCAATGATGGGATTTGGTGAACCGCTGAGCCAAAAGACGCACAGTATAGTGAAAGCTTCAAAGCAGGTGTGGATGCCTTGCTAGTGTTGCAGTTAGAGCTGGAGCCAGTTACGCAGACCTCACTGATCCAATGAAGAATTGGGGGAGGGACGGTTTCAGCAATGGTTAACAGTTACACTGTAGGCAAGGAGAGTTCCTGAATCATTCCAGATTCTCCACTGTGACCTGTGACCTGTGACCTGAGGATGTATTCTTGTTGCCTCTAGTATTAATCGGGGAGAAGTACATGTAAATCCTTATGTACAGCCATAACTGGCTAAGCTCCACCGGTACTTTCTTCAATCCTACAGAGTCCTATAAAACCTGCCAGAGTTTGAAAGACCTGGGTTGGTACTACTTTAGGAGAGCTTTTGGTGACAGACACGGTCCCTGAACTCAGAAGTCATTAGCGCATACGGTTTACTAATATCCTAGAGTTGCTTTAGACTTGGAAAGAATAATTAAAACTATGAGTCATACACAGCTGTCACATAAAAAGGTCAAAATCAAAAATACATGGAAATGTACTGAGGAGAGAAAAAGTTCAGGGTTGGACGCATTTCATCCAATTAGCATAACAAACTTTTGCTCAGCGTTGTTTGTCAGTCTATTCTGTGAGTCCAACAGCCAACCTTCATGGGTTCCGAGTCAGGAAGTGACAATGAAGTGACTTTTCTGTCCTTCCCCCAAAAGTCACAAATATTTTTTTTTTCGTTTATCTTCAGCATATTTGCCTTTCGGCTTCTACCTGGCACTGTTCTGGTAAAGACAAATACAAAGGTAGACTTCTGAGTAAAGGAACAAATTCCAGGGCCACATTTCCACATTTATAAAGCATTATTCACTGCCACTGTTTACACTGTCTCACTTCCTGCTGGTTCCCAATGCTTACACAAATTGACCGCCAGGCTGTGGGCAAACCGGGTGCATAAATTTCTTGATAATTTTGCAAGAGCTACATGTAGGCCCCCCCCCATAGTAATGGAGATATGGCTGGTCTGTGGTTTTTAGCAAAGGTCATAGCACCGGCCCACACGAACGAATGCCTGGGTAGTGCATAGGCTGAGTTTTTAGCACAAACGCAATATCTGGAGAAAGCCTTAGGTAGGGCCAAAAATAATAGCTCTCAAATATTTGGGATATTTAAAGAACCTTCAATAAAAAAAAATTTAAACTACATGTCAAATGAGTATTTACCGTACAGTATTAGACTCATGCAGTATATGAACTGGTCCTTTGAAAGAAATTTATGCATTATACAGTAGTAACATTACACTCACTCATCCATGATCCACTGCAGAAGGAAAAAATAATCTGTATTTTTTTTAAATCCTCTCTCAGGGTGTTGGCAGTTTCTGTGTATTTTGTTTGTCGATCGCTTACATTACTCACTGGTGAGTGGAGGGTGAAGTCACCATTAGGAAACGATGACTGTCAGTGGGACGCACCGTCTGTGGAATGTGTCAACTTCATGCTTTCAATTCTCTCCGGGTTTTTCCTTGAGTTGTCAAAGAGTTCAATGTCAGCTCAAGCTCTGCGATTCAAGCATGACAGCACCGAAGGCAGACGGGGGATGCCCCCCCCCCACCAAAATAATATTTTTTGAGATATTGAGAGTGAATTTTTGTTTTAATCTATTCATTTCCCTTCCTACCAAAGGTGCGTAAAAAGCCCAAAAATGTAGCCTCAGAAAAGCCATAAAAACATTTAAAACCTACTCCAATTTTTGCCCACTCCTAAAAAGTTGGTCCTGAATCTGCCCTTGGACAGCACATGCATGTCCATGTATCACATGCAGAGTCTTATAATCCAATAATATTGAGATTGAGAAAAATAATCCTTGCGTGCTAACTCTAACCCTCAAGCCAGACCCAAACCTTTGGGATTAAAGGGTTTCGAAATCCCAATTGTGGGCATGTCCTCATTGTATGACCATGAATCAGCAATTAGGATCTGTTTGTCCAAACCCAGTGCAGGACAAGGTAGACTCACAGCAAACACAGCTAGGATTAACTTTTTTTGCAGTGTTGCGTAAAGCGTTCGATAAGTACACAAGCAAAACAGGAGTGTTGTCCAAGTGCACAGTTGAGTTGACTATTTGAGTGGAAAGGCACATCATGGACACTGTAATTGTGGGGGGGGTTATCACTGAGTACTGGCAGTTAGAATAATATAACCAACAGACTAACCAGCTGCAGCGCCTCCTCGGCTTGTTTACGGAGGCCTGTGTTCACAATTGCGGTAGATTTGTTTGTCAAAATACCAACCGGGCAGGCTGCCTTTCCTTTCTGTCCGAAAGCTGGGCCTTTTCTAACCAAAGTTCTTTTACAGGCCACAAACTGACAGTGTTTTCCAAGTCGGCAGACATCCTTTTCATGTTTTTCGAAAACCAAACGGAAAAGGCCCAATCAAGTTTCAAAGGGCATCTGATCCCATTCGCCCCTTCCTTCTGCAACATTTTGCTCGTTGCCAATGACCACGGAACTGTGCCAGCTTTTCTAGAAGTCAAAGTAGTTCAGTACTTTTAGAAGCAAGCGAAATTCAGTCTCCACTTTCTAAGGGTGATATTTTTACAACAGCCTGTCCCACATTAACAGGACTTAGTCACAAAATCTGTGCAACTTGAGCCTTCCTGTTTTCCATCAGTGTTTTTGTCTTTCTGTTTTTCACACTGTTGTGAGAACATTTTCCAAACTATTCCTGGCTTGTATACAAATATCCCGAAAAATATTTTGGTCAAAATAGTCTTAAAAAGATCCAGGCAGGTGAGAAAACTAGAGAAGTGTTATCTTCTTTCCATCTCCGGTTTCTGGAACAGACAACAAAATTCTCTTAAGAAACGAGATCGGAATCCCTTGTTGACCAGACAATGGGCCGTCTTCTGTCCGAGACGACTTGTCTTCCAATGACCTTCCGCCACCGCCGCTGTCCTCATTGTTTTCCCGCTTCTTTTATCTTGGGCAGGTTGCATTATCAATGGGAAAGGAAGTTAAGAAGTCCACAAAACAGTATTGATCAAGGGACGGAAGGGAGAGGAAGTGAGGCAAAAGTGGCACTGAGAGTTATCTAACATGGTGGGTCTGCTGTACTTTCTTTGAATGACCCCACCAGGCAAGCATTTCTACCAGGGTCAAAATGGAAAAGTACACCCAGAGCTTGTGATGAGCGGAATGCATTGGGAGAAAGCTCTCGCGATCTGGGAAGGATGTCAAAAGGAAATTCCGTGTATTTCATTGGTGCGCAAGCACATTCATATTTCACTTTCAGTTTCTAACTTTGAGAAATGAAAGTGCCCTTTAAAGAGTTCATTTTATTTGAAACAAATTCCTTGTGGCCTCATCTGTACCGGACAGCCAGAATTTTGGCGATTGTACAGTAGCCAGCAGAAGCAGAGGCAGAAACTGTTCTGTCCCAACAAGTTCAACCAATCTCTCTTGCTACACAGTGAAACACTGAAAAGAGAAAGTGCACCAAAAAAAAAACATTCTACCGACCTGTAACTATCCCGTTTTCAAACCCTCCATAATAGGGAGCAGTTTTGTTTGGCCTAAGCCCATAAATCTTCTTAGCTCCTTTTCTCAGTAAATTCTAGCAATTGAACTCTTGATCTTTGAAATAAACCAGGTGGTTTTCAAGGCTCCAGATGGAACACCGAGCCCAAAATTAACACAAATACTTTTCCCAGAAGGCCCCATATACCTTGAAAGCTCAAATACAAAGAAACGAGCCACTGCTTTCCAGCACTGTGGAAAGTTTTGGGGGGTGGATTTTCAGAAAGAATCCTGGAATTTAGACAAAGTGGGGATTCAAATAGACAATCGGGCAATAAATGTAAGCAAAGTGAGTGATTTGTATTAAAAAAAAAACTAACAAAAGCAAACATTTGAAAGTGTGACTTACTTGTGAAGTACATTTCTGGCGTGACAAATTTGGCCTTTGGATCCTCTAGTAGGCCAGAAGCCATTGCAATTCCTGACACACAGCACAGTGCATGTAGGTATCCAAGCACCAATATGACTGAGGTTCTGTGGACTAGCCTCCTACTCCTCAATAAATCCTCCATAGTGTTCTCCTGTCTTTTCTTTCTTGGCAAGCTGGTGGTTACAAAATAGAAAATATCCTCTTTGAGAGGCAGAACGAGGTTGACGACTGGAGACTGCACAGAGCAGAGTGTTACAAAACAGACTGTAGGCTTCGTTGCATGTACCTGCAGATGGAGGTCAGGTGCACGGTATGTTTACATGCAGCCGTTTCCTACAAAAAAACAGAAAAGACAAGGAAACAGAGAATGAGATTAAACAAGGCATCCTCACGGATACTCATTTGACAAATTCTGAACGTTTAACGGGTGATTGCTTAACGGGTGATTGCTTAACGTTTACCACTCTTGTGTCTGGAAATGAATGCTGCAGGATTTCCACAGTCCTTGTCTGTCTCTGTTCAAAGTGCATGCCATACATGTATGTGTATCTATCAATACTTGGGAGACACTTCAAGGCCACACTCTTTCAACAGCATGTACATGGATCTCAAGGTTTCAAAAGCTAACCTCTACTGTGGAGCTATAGAGCCCTACTTACAGTGAACCTACCAATCAATGCAATGAAAGTGAAAAATAACTGGTACTCCGTGAACTACTTGCACACATGTAAATTGAAATCTTAATAATAACGGCAAAATGCACGGGACTTTAATGATGCATTTGTAGGAGACAAAAGGTTAACGGTTCATTTGAGAGCAATAGAAAAGACGGACCTGTCAGAGAGACGGTGGTCTCTGAAAAGCAACGGAAATGCATGGTCGTGCTGTACATGTACGTAAGTATGTAAGTGTGCATGACTTGAAAGCTGCCAAAATAACTGATGCTGGTCCGTTCGTCATTCCAGTGACGTGAATGGAGACTTGAGAACTCATTATGCTGGCTTAGAGGGCTTTGGAAAAATGTCAGGCTGGAAAACGCCCCAGGCTTAAGTCATAATTGAGGACTGTAATTGCGAGAGAGAAGTACACAACCTTATGCATGTATACATGTACATGTCCGGTGCATGTACGCTATATTTGCAAGTAGCATTCCCTGCCAGCATATGTAGAGCAAACTGCAATAAAAATTTCCAAGCCTGCACAAAACGAAAACAATCCGACAAGCCGAAGATGGCATTACTGAAAGCAAATGAGAACAAAACAAACACACGCATGTTGGCCTTGGATTATTCCCAACCAAATACAGGGTACAGAGCCATTTGGACTGGTAGACTATTTTCAACGTACACATTGGTACAGTAACGTACAAAAGTTTGAGTGAAGTCGCGAGTCTGTGGTGATATTACCTGAGGGCCTACAACAGGGCACACACAAAGTGTACTTGCTCTCCCTAATTACTGTACTACGCAGACACTGTCCCCCCCCCAGAATTCAGTTCTGGATTCACCCTTGATTCATCCCTATTGGGTAGACCACTTCCAGTCTCTACTGAGCAAGGTAACAGCCTCAGCAGCTTCACGCACTCACTGTGATGCTACCGGTATATGTACCTCAGAAAATTAACATTTATTCCAGTATCGGCATTTGAAAATCAATAAACCCTCCACAAATTCATCTGTGGCTTCAACGTGTGGTGCATCTGAACACTGACAGCACCTGGGTGAGTCAGGTGACGTCGGAATTTGTTTTTTCCCCAGCAACAAGCAAAAGAGCACAGAATCGATTCAGACACCTCTAACCATGATCCCAAACAGACGGATCATAATACTCCACAAACCAAAACATTCGCAAGGACTAAATATGCCCCTTCCGTCCCTCAGCTGTCTAAATACCATACATGAACTGGTAGGTCAGTGCTCAATCTTTTCAACCCTCAGGAACTGGGAATGGGGATAAGGGCAGGGCATTCTTACACTGACAGGAAGGGGACCATTTTATTTCTTCCCCTCAAGATCTTGGCCGTAAAATGGAGACTTGATCTCTGACAATGTACATGTACATGTACATGTAATCAGAGACATGATTAGTTCTGGCCACAATGGAAGAAAAAAGGTGCCATTACTAGTACATGAACATGTACACTACCATTTAAGGATTAGTTCATTTCCCCATGCGTAGACGACCAAAACTTTCTTACATTTGTATAATTACGATACCAGTACCCTTGCTTCGTCCAAAACTGGCACAAAAAAATTGCGAAAGAGATCAACTGGCAAACTTATCGAGGTTGTGGTAGTGCGGTACATGTGTATGGGTGCAAAGTGTGGCCATGAAAGGCAACTTTCCCTCACCCCATCCCCCACTGCACTTCTTCAAAGGTTAAAACACTTGCCGAAATCCAGGACAATTGCCTGGACTTGGTTCCCCAAGACCATGCTTCCTCAACTAGACCCTTCGCTGCTTGCTATCCAGACAATTCCCAGGCTTGGTTCCCCTACACGGTGTCTCCACACCCAGACCCTTCGCTGCTTGCTATCCAGACAATTCCAAGGCTTAGTTCCCCCACACCGTGTCTCCACACCCAGACCCTTCGCCACTCACTGTCCAGACAATTCCGAGGCTTGGTTCCCCCAGACCATGTCTTCACACCCAGACCCTTTGTGGCTCACTGTCCGGACAATTCCACTGTCCCTTCGCAAGTTTTTCCTGATCCCTTCACCAAGGCCCTTCCCCATGCCTTGGGGGATTTACTCTCATCACTCCTTCGATCAGTCCCCATCCATCTTTCACTCCTCACTTCATCCCTTAATCCCCAAATCAGCTTTATAAAGATCAGGATCCCAGCCGATTCTCTCCTCTGTCCATTGACATGTATTCTGAAGTTGGGCCTCAAACTACTGGGAAACCGCACCCATCTCTGATCTTGTCTTCCCCCAGTTTTAATCAATCTTTTTTATCCTTCCGATCTTCCCTTGAGGGATTTACTGATGTCCACACCGCAGTGCACATTCACCTGGCCAGAAGTGATCAGGTTGTTTACAAAAGCACAAGGTCATGGCAGTAAATAATACCGCAATTATGCGCGTTCCTCCCTTAAAAAGAAGCACCAGTTTTATTGTATCCCACACTTCATCATCAAAAACGGATCCATACAATTCCAATTTGTCCGGATTTGGTTATGTTGCTGAGAGGGCACAGCACGAAAATCACAAAGGTCAATGATGCTAAGTAGTTATTTGTTATTCTTCAGCATGAAAGGAATCCATCAGCCAGGGACTAGAAATTCATGTTCAGTCAAAATTACTCCCTGGCAATGATGCACCGAAAGTGGAAAAATATCCTCCGGCATTTTGGCCTTTTTCCTGTTTTTTTCAAAGCTTTCATAGACCCAAGATGAACCCCAACCAGCTTACACTCGGCTAAATCCTCGGAAAATAAATCATCTTACATACTTGACACTTGGCAGGCAGTGTACGACCAAATGGCAGCCCAGAGGAGAAGAGTCGTCCTCACGATCAACGACAGCCCCACAATCAACAAATAGGACCTACTTGTGCGCTAACTCTGAGTATGCTGAAAATTTATCAAGCTTATCATGATCTTGGTGCTTATAAACCATTGAACAATTCCGCTTTATCTGTGGCTTCTATTTGTTCAACGCTGAACACTTGACGGTTCCTCTGCTTCGCTTCTTCCTCTTTCAGTTTGTCAAATGTGACGTCATCCACTCTTTAGTGAAATACTTATTCACCTGTTTTACTGCTTGAAATGTTCATCCTCTGCAATGTATACTTCAGAAATCTCAACTGAGAGATAACAAAATTTGTGGTGATTTGGCTACTAACTCGGTTTGATGCACTATCTCAAAAATATGTCTGAGACACACGTACTGTGTACATGTACAGTATATGTACATGTACGTGTGCATCCATATTAACAGACTACTGGTCAATGCACCATGGTGATAGCCACGTCAATATGGATTTGTGTTTGTATAGCTTCGGGGAACTGCAGTACTGAGAAATGAAAAACTAATTTCCGAACAAAATGGAGAGAGCAGGGCAAACATTTGTCAATATGGTAACACAGAACCAACACCAACGTGGCAGTTAGCCTGTGCTTATGTAGGCAAATGAATTTGCCATTAATCTCCATGGATGGATGTGCATCTCTCACCAACAACCCACACACACAACTCAGGGTTGGGCGTGCTGCTTACACTGTGAGCGTGAATGCCCGGGCATCAAGAGGTTCCTTCCGCGAAGCAAAAAGTGGGAAGGAAATGTTCCTCTGAACCACTTCCTGTGCATTCATGTACCCCACCCCGTCAATGCTATTCAATCTATTTTATATGTTATACAAGTTCAAACCGATGCAATTCCCCCCCCCAAAGAAAACCTGTTATTGCAGTATATTTGCACAAAGGCGTAAGTGAACTCCCCAGAGGACAATAGGTGCCCAGGTGTTGTGAATAAACTATGCCAAACAATGGGCTTTAATTGCCTACTTGTCAAAAGCCATGAGCACTGGTGTTTTTCTTAGTTGTTAGAAGGTCACACTCGCAGGGTATCAGGCTACTGGGGTGGTCAAAGAAAAATAACAAATATTAACCATAACCCTGCTCTGTATATTCAGCAAGAACCCAGGTTCTATCCCTTCTGCCCCTGGCCTACTGATAGTAAAATCTGAGAGTACTGATAGCTATAACAAATATATCTTTCGTTCAGGGATCACATCAACAAAGTTTAACACAAATAATCTTCTTGTTGAATCGTTGTGAAAACTAGAACTTCATCATGCATGTGTTGCTTTTACCCAGGGGGACTGGCCATTTTGGAATTTAGACACAGCATTTCATGAAACAAATGTATAGGCCTACAACAGAGGTGAAAAGGTGTAATTCTTGGACACCCTGAAAAGAGAGGCGGAGATTCAACCAGCTTCATTTCGAACACCGATTCAACGTAGGCCTACATGTAGTCAGAGAATAAGGGTTACTAAGTAGTAACAGGCATGCAGTTGAAAACTCCATGGTTTGGAGACTCTGATGAAGGTTAGTCTTTGATGGTGAAGTCTTTGATATCAAGAAAGCAGACAGCAGGTGCGACTTAAAAAATTTCAGTATTAAATCTAAATACATGTACAGTACCATCTTCATCAACCACAAGAAGTCAATGAAACACCTTCATTGTGTACATTTAAAGATTAATTCAATTTTGCTTGAGCCATATACTGGTACATGGACATGTACAAAAGTGTGCATTTCAATGCCTTGAATGCTGTACCATTTGACAGTTCTATTGCAATGCCTCACCACAAGGTAAAGCATCCCA